GCGGGCCGGTGCGAGGCAGCAGGCGAGTGGGGCGGTGCGGGGCAGCAGCGGGACCGTGACAGCAAGGGGGGAAAGGGGAAGGGCGGGACAGCAAGGCGGGGAGACAGGCAGGGCGGAGACAGCGCAAGACAAACAGTAGCGGGGCTAGGCAGCATGCAGGAAATGGCAGGCCAGTAGGTCCTGCAGCGGCATGAGGTCAGGCGGGGCATTAGGTGGGCGGGGCGGCACAGCAGAGGACAAGGGCAAAAACGCACAGAACAGAGAAACAGAGAGGACAACAGATTGCATGCGCAAGCAAGGCAGTGAAGGGAGGGCAAAAATGGGGGGCTTGGGGGAAAGGCGGGCGAGGGAAGGGTGTAGGGCTTGGCGGAACAGGGGACGAGTTTCAGCTTTCGATGGCTCAAGAGAGGCTTGAGCTGGTTCAATATGTCCAGCATGCGCTGAACCAAGGGGGTACACAACACCCACCTACAATGCTACAACGATTCCTAGTCAAAATTATCACAGACGATGCTCGGCTTGCTTGGCCGGCTTAGTGCTGGGAGAATCCTCTTGTGCCGCGCTATTGGTTCTTGAAATAGGGTGTTGAACTTGATGAACTTGAAGGAGCGTTGCCCGGAGGGGATGTTGTTGCAAGGTTGTTGCGCTCCAGGCCACCTGCTTGCGGCCAGCGGTGTGACGCATGCTTATCTGACTTGTGCGGCGCCCGAGGATGTAAAGGAGGAAAGGTTCGCGCCAAAACCGGCCAAACAAGCCGAGCATTGTCTGTATCGCTTAAACTTATTAGAGATAAAAGGGCTGTAACCAGCTTTTTCTAGGATAGGTTCCCTTTGAGTACCTTTACAGATCAGCAAAGGCGTTAACTTTTCACCTGAAACAAACCCTTAGTTCAGCGCATGCTGGACAAAAACCGCATTTTAAGTCGAATGGTGATAACACAATAGTTATGCTGCCCTGGGACGTGAGCCGCGTCGTACTAGTTTTGCGCATAGGCAGGAGGCCTTATGTATGCCCCAAACGACCAACACCACAACTCATCCGACAAGGTTTGAGCTCACAGGGAATGTTCGTGGTATACGAAATTCCTTATCCCAAGAGCGGGCCCAAACTACTTGTCAGGAAACTAACTGTTCGCTTCCTTATATGCGCAAAACTCGAGTTTGAACTTATACTGCTTGGGTATATTAGATTTTGACGACTGTAAATTCTTAATTTTCGGGAAGGGGTGATTGTCCATCTGTAGGATGCCTCAAACGCAGGCTAGCGAGTTTCCGTGGTTCACATCAGAAGCTAGCACAGGAGCGTATCAAAAAAGCTATGATCGTCGTTTTATAAAGTCACACAACAATTGCACTAAAATGTCGACTTGCTATGCAAAATATGACCGTGGGTCACAAAGTCACAACGACACAAGCACGTTTGGCCCTCGGCAGCCAGTCCGCGACAACAATCTCCATTCAATCATACAAAACACTTATAACATCCACGTCAAGGAAATCTCCAAGCGTCTTCAAGCAGGGCAGGGTTAGATCGCACTAGGGTTAGATCGCACAACGATTCTAGGGTTAGATCGCACAACGATTCTGTCGCAAGGACATGGCTGGATGGCAGCGTTTTTTTGCAGAATAATTCCGAATTCGGAATAAAAAACTGTTCGTGGCAATTTAGAATAGATAATGTTCTGACCGTACAAGTTCATTCCAAAACCGCTAGAATCTTACAGGAGACATACTTGTTAACCATATCATAGTACTTAAATGCCACGGATACTGTTAGGAAGGTCACGCCCGAAATTCAACGAAGAAACGGGCTGTTTCTGACCGGACCAAACGCTGCAAAATATTCGGACCCGAAGCTCCCAAAGCGTGGCAGGCCATTAAAGCAGATATTAAACTGTACTGAAGCCATTAGCGATGTTAATGAAGACGGTGTAGAGGTCGTAGGCAATGTGGACCCAAAGCTGCAGCCAGCCGACGTGGTGTGTGCGTGTTGCGACATTCCCCGAACCCGACCCTCGCACGAACTAAACTGTAACTCATTGGGGGGTCTGGAGGGAGGCGGAGCTCCCCCCAGCGCCTTACAGATTCGGAATACTTTTATCCTTGCGACAACTGCTGGATGGCTCCACTGTAATTATCGCACCCTGCTTTAACTGATTGTTATGTCTTAACGTATTCCTCAACTTAATGCTTAACTGTCGGTTGAGTCCTTCGAGACCTTCCTCAATTTTGTCGGCCTTTGGACCCTTTTTGTCTCTACCTGCGGCTCGGACATCTTTATCGTGGAGCTCTGCATCAATGAAGCAGAAGGACTTCATTGATGCGAAGGACTTCGGGCTAAATACCTGGCGATGGCGGCTGGCTCATGACGGCAAGTTTCACCCCGCCCTTCACGTTTCCCCTTTCCGTTGTTACCCCTCCTCGGAATTGACCTCCTATGTCACGGCTGTGGTGCAGCTGGAGCATTCGGGCAAGCTCTTTCGAGAGAACACTTCCAAACTCAAGATGGCCCCACCCTGCCAATATCAGAAATTTGTAGTGTTCCCCGTTCCGCATGTGTTGGTCTGAGGGCTTCATCTTCACCACTTGTATGTCTGTATGATGGCACCCTCGTTGATCTGTGTGGATGCCTCGGCGTGCTTCATGGGTCCATCTCGTATGTTAGGTAGCTGTGTTGCCATCTCTCCGGGGGGAACTCTCGTGTGTTCACTAAGGCTCCTGGGTGCTGGTGGGGGACTGGGCGTTTTGTATTTTGGACGTCGCAGTTCACATTCAGTTTTCCAGGTGATACAGGTGGTTCTTTTCCTGGTAAGGCTGCACTTCACCTGGCAACCCGTACATCCACCGGCTCAGGACATCCTGAGCTGGGTGTTTTTACAATGTTTTTACGAGAATATCGAGAATGAGCAGCACATTTTGCTGGACTGTCCGGTGTACGACAAAATTAAATCTGATATGGATTTCCCACACTTCAATCATATGAAGGACGGCATAATATGGGAACCTGAACACCTGGCAAGCATGCTGGAATGTATATGGCCCCACCGCAACTATATCGCTCCCTTTGGTCGTTGGTCTCCTTTATCACTTGCTTTGTTTGAAGTGCGAGGTAGATGATGGTGCTTATAAATTTTAATGGATGGACGCATTGTCAAGCAGCATCAGACATGACCTGTCAAGCATCATAGACTTCACAAACCCAGCAAAATCAACTGTCTTAATGCCTCCCACTTTGAGCATGGACCCCACCACAGAACCGTGGCTATCAACGGCCAGGAGAAGAGTCCAGCTTCCTGTGTGCATCATAACAATGTGCTGACCCTTGGGTGCCCATCCATACAAAGGCACAAGCCGCTCACTGAATGCACACTCATCGATACTGACAATTCTTCTGCTGGTCTCAGCAGCATGGATAACTCTACAGCAGCACTTCCACTTCCATACATGTGTATCTCATTGGTGCCTGGTTCACTTGTGAGAATACCAGATCAGTTCCAGAGCCCGCTGTATTGTATCAACACACACTCCAATGCCAAGCATCTGCAATTGATGCCTGAGTTATTCGTGTTGTGCACGGCTTGGCTTGTAGCATGGCCCTTATCAAAGTCTTGATACGGCACACTTTGTTCTGCACCCTGCTAGAGGCCCCATGGTGCCATGCCCACCCGCCGCCTGCCTTGTGACCAGGGTGTGACAGTGTGATCAGGTCCCGACAGGAATGGCACTTGTGCTGAAAATCCTGACAGGCTTTGAAAAATGCTTTCGGGCAGACCCGATGAAAAAGGGGGAAAATGCCAAACGGCCATTGGGAGCCCCCGACGGGGCCGGGGACCCGACGGGGTTAGGGGTGCTAGGACCACCCGATCGGGTGCCATGGGTCGTCGGTGGGCCCTCCAGTGACGGATGGCTACAGCGATACATAATGGTATTCATACAAATATAACTGGATGGAAATATGTAATGTATTCGTTCACTTTGTTGCCTCTTCTTCTTTATGAGGGGGATGAAGAGGAGGACGAGGAGATGTTCCTCTCCAGTCCTACGGTGTCTAAGGGTCTCCTTGAAGAGCTCGGGTTGTGATGCTCACAGGCAGACGTGCAGGCGTGCATGTGTTGCTGTGTGTGTGTGTGTGTGTTTGTTCGTGCGTATCAGAACTGTGAACTGCAAACTGAGAACTGGAAAGTGTGCATATAAAATACGAATAAATGTAATTTCAAGTAATTACAACGAAATTTCGTTCTTGCGTTACCCGACAGGTTTTGGGATGGGCTATCAGGGCACCCGACAGAAATTGAAAGATATGCAAAAACGCTATCGGGTGGGCCCGACGGGCATGGGAAGGGGAAAACCGGCAACCCGACCATTTCAGGAAGGTCCTGTCCAACCCTGCTTGTGACCGTGGCCTCCACAGCGGCTTGCCACCCCACCCCACAGCAGCGACATGCTCAGTGGATGGCATGCCTGGCGGATGTGCTGCATTGCCACCGCTGCTGCTGCTATCTAGGGAGCCGCTGTGGGAGATGACATGGCCACCTTTCTCCTCGTGCCAGGCCGAGGGCCTGCAGCATGCAGCGGGGAAAGCAGCAGGGCCGTGTTGGAGGTGAAGGGGCAGGGAGAAGTTGGCCAAAAAACAAACCGCCCAACGGCATTTGTCACAATCTGATGGCACACAGAAGCCAATACTCGGCATGTGTCACAGGGAGCCCTGGTGTCATGCAGCATCGGTGCATTCAAGCGCAAAGCTCAGACTCTTTTGCAGCAACCATTGCAGCAGGCCCTGCCGCAACCCATGCTTTGTGTTGTGTTGTCCGTGTTGTGCCATGCCGAGCCACGGATAAAAATAGCTTACACCGCACTGCACTGCACTGCCACCGTGTAGCACCCCCACCCCCCACCTCCCGGAGACTCCCACAGCACACTCACTTGCAACAGCTACACGCGCTGCAGGGGCCGCCGCTGCGACTGGTCATCCATGTATGGGTACCCATGCTCTAAGGTGAGCATCAGTCCTGGTGTGGAGGGGTCGTCAGTGAACAGCTGCATATCGATGCACTGCTGCTTGTAGTTGTAGTAGAAGATGATCGAGGTGAACTTGTTTGCAACAATCTTGGCAAGGTTCGGGAAGAACTCCATCAGCAGCGTGCCATCGAGCTCCACCCAGCCGCCGCACCGGTGCCGAAAAATCTCCTCTTCCCGTAGCCTGCTGAAGCCGTCGTTCGGCAGCCTAATGTTGACGAGGTCCACGTGTGGTCCCTCCCAGAAGTCCACCGTTGCCAGGTACGGAATCCCAGCGTGCACAAACTTGAAGTGCTTTGGCCTTCCCCAGGATGGAGCGCAGGTAATCAGCTCCTGCGCCGTGTATCGGCGCTGCTTAAATTCGTTGCTGCCTATGAAATCAAAAATAACCTCATCCAGCAGACACACGTTCTGCCGCCCGGCGGGCTGCAGGAACAGCGTTTGGAGATGCTCTCGGGCAGCATCGTGGCCACCCTGGAGGCGCTCGTCACCCGCTATAGCTAGCGACATCTCTACTCTATGGTTCTAGGATTGCATAGCGCTGCCAAACGTTTTACGCAGCTCAGCGTCCAGCAGCTGCTAGCAGAAGACACAAGGCCCCAATATGGACACCAACCAGTCTTGAAATGTTATACTTTGTTGTGGTGACGTAAGGGCAGCATGGAAGTGAGCGGAAATGGTTGCGCGGAACCGCTTTTGCGGTGTGACGTTGTGTAACGACGCAAGGCCCGTCTGAGCATCCCGGGTTATGCCTTTGCTGTGTTACAATGGTATTGAGACCATTGTACACCGTTTAACACAATGTACCCCATCCGGGGACCGGCTCGCTCGGAACGATTGGGAGCATTAAAAGATGCTGCGCAAAAAGTTTGGTGCACTGCTTCTGCCCGCCATTCTCGATGAAATTGTTACGCGCTTACTTGACGTCACATAAGTTCTTCTGAGTGCTTATATACATAACAGTTTGCAATAAGCATTGTCCAGGTTGTGCAGACCATAGAGAACTTGCACGTCGTCGTGTTGCCTGGATGGAAGCCCTACCAACACTCAACTCATGGACGCGGCTTTGAAGGGTCCAAACCAAGCGGAAGCTATTCAGGAGCTGGGTCGGCGCGCAGATGCCGAGAAGGCGAGGGCAGAAGCTGCGGAGGCCCTGTCAGAAGCTGCGGAGGAGCAAGTCAATTTTATGAGGTACACGATATCCTTATCAACTCTGATGGAGCGCGACATGCTGTGCGCTCGAGGTGGTACTTGCCGCGACTTCTGCTGACACCGTTCATGCTCCACGCAGCGCTGATCCGGAGTGGCGCACTTCAGGGGTGGAGTCATCAGTGCGTCCTCATCCGCTGTGGCCCCAGGTAGGGTCGGGCCGCCGTCAAGTAGCATAGGGGCCAGGATCTTGCGCAGCAAAGTAGTGAAGAAGATAGGGCTGGACGACAGGCCCATATGGGCCCATATAGGCCCATATGCCCATGCATGGGCATGACACGGTAGCACCACTGCGTGTTGCCCATGCTGAACGCGCACCGTTGCATGCTCTCTTGGTCGGCCAGCTCAAGGCTGAAGAATCCGGACACCATGTCGAATGAGTAGTAGTATCGCTTCTGCCCCACAGGTGGAGCGACCGAGTCCAAGATGTCCTGGATGTTGCCCATCAGGTAAGGCTGCAGCTTCAGCACCTGGTTGAGGCGGCACAAGTCCACCACACATCGCAGGCCGCCCGACTGCTTCTTGATGCTGGTCATCAAGAAGCTTCTTGATGACTGCTTCTTGATGACTGCTTCTTGATGACCAGCATCGGTGCTGACCAAGGGCTGGTTGACGGCTCCACAATGCCATCGGCCCACATTTTGCTGATCTCAGTGTCAGCGGCTTCCCACTCGGCCTTTCCCATACAGTACGGCAGCATGTATACGGGCACAGCGTCACCTGTATCCACCTTGACCTTTACCCATGGGTTCTTGCCCAGCTCCCGGTTGTTTCGTGCGAACATGTAGAGCTTTCAAATGCTGCTAATAATTTTGGTAAGAGTGGAATAATTTTATGCCAACGGGAGCGTATTGCGCATAATCACATCCAACAGTTTGGACCGTTTCGTGCCCTGCAGGTCGGGGCTAATGCACTCCTCAAGCATGGCGTGCAGCTCCTCATCGGGCTCAGGAGAGGGGAGCCGTGCTCGTGCCTCGGCGCCATGCTGCCGTGCAAGTGTGGCATGTTGCGCCAGTCTCAGGGCAAAACATTCATGCGGAGAGTGAATTGAGTCACAGGCAGTCTGGGCGCTGAACCTGGGCTACTCGCATGGCTCCATGCAGGCACTGTATGCAGTGACGGTGCTGGCTGTGAAGTTGCCGCTTGACAGCAAAGGTTGGATGAGGCGCATGGATAGACTGAAGGCACAATGATGGCGGGGTGGTGGTTTCAGATAGTCTGTTGTGCGCCGGTCAGCAGGGGTTCGGGGGTTGTGCAACCAGATGTGTTGAGTATGAGGGTGCGGTGGCCTGACAGGTCGATGCGGGCAAGGGTATCCAGCGTGGTGGAGGTGAGACTGCAGAGACGTTGGGTGCAGCTGTACATGCTCATGTCAGGGTGTAGCATGCTTGCCAGAGTTACATGCAGGCCTTCAGTGCACAGGCATGATACGTAAGCATAGGAGTTAGACCCACAATGGCGCTTGTGGTGCAGGATGGACCAGTTCACTCGCACTCTGGGAAAAGGGGGGTCATTTTACCCGTAATTTTGGGTCAATCCACCCGTAATTTGACAGAAATTACGGGTCCGTAACACGTTACGGGTCCCGTAATTTGAGCACAAGGATACAGGTGAACATTTACGGGTGAAGACCCAGTGATTACGGGTGGATTTTACGCGGTGCTGGAGGTTAATTACGGGCGCATGTAACCAATTACACGCAAAATTACGGGTGAAGACCCAGTGATTACGGGTGGATTTTACGCGGTGCTGGAGGTGAATTACGGGCGCATGTAACCAATTACACGCAAAATTACGGGTGAAGACCCAGTGATTACGGGTGGATTTTACGCGGTGCTGGAGGTGAATTACGGGCGCATGTAACCAATTACACGCGAAATTACGGGTGAAGACCCAGTGATTACGGGTGGATTTTACGCGGTGTTGGAGGTGAATTACGGGCGCATGTAACCAATTACACGCGAAATTACGGGTGAAGACCCAGTGATTACGGGTGGATTTTACGCGGTGTTGGAGGTGAATTACAGGCGCATGTAACCAATTACACGCGAAATTACGGGTGAAGACCCAGTGATTACGGGTGGATTTTACGCGGTGCTGGAGGTGAATTACGGGCACATGTAACCAATTACACGTACAATTACGGGTGGAGACCCAGTGATTACGGGTGGATTTTACGCGGTGCTGGAGGTGAATTACGGGCACATGTAACCAATTACATGTACAATTACGGGTGGAGACCCTGTTATCAGGGTTACACAGGCAGATATTACTCTGTGATGTGACGCTTACTGCATGTTAAATTAACGATTGGTGAATACTTGCGGCAAGCCTCAAAATGGACGCACACCCCTTGTCAAAGTAGCCTAAGTCTCAGTGTGCTTGTGGACCAAGGCGCTTTGGACTCACAACGCCGACCAGCCAGCCTGACAGCCTGATGCATTCATCTCAACCATCGTCCTCGAAAACAGTGTTCATGTCACCCCCCATACAGCAAGTGCTCGCCAAGGAGTCTCACCACCACTTGCAGAGTTCATGCCTACTCCTACGGATGAAACCCCCGATGCATGACATGTACTGGCACCTATTGGGATTGGTCTGTCCCATCCTGCCTGGGGCCGACATGGTGTGTGCACCCCCAAGCGCTCATCACTGCTGCCATGTTACTGCTCACTTCCACCACTGTCGCTGCTGCCACTGCCACTGCTGCTGCTGCTGCTAGCTTCGCTATATTTGCCCGGGTCCTCCGAGCTGGACTCCTCCCCAGCGCCAGCGGCTAGGACCTCTTCCTCACCAGCATCCGACCCACCCTCCGAGCTACCCTCCTCTGTCCGCCCCCTCTGCCCTCCCTTGCCTGCACCACCCTTCCCTGCACCTCTGGTGGTCCCCTTGCTTGCACCCCTGCCCCAGCCTGCACCCTTGTTCCCCTTCTGCCATTTATTTCCAACCTTGCGCCCCGACCTCGCACCCAGGTCGTCGTCATCACCGCAACCCCGCCTGCACTTGCCAGCTGCACCCTTAGCTGCTCTTGGCACCTCGCCGGCCCTCTCCTTGAACGCATCATAGTCGGTGGTATCCTCGTCCTGTGGTGGGGGGGCAGCAACACCCAGTGCTTACGTTCAAGGTAAAATATCAGGGTAAGACCCAACAAGCTGCCCTGACATTGAAAGTTGACATAACCCATCAGCACCCCTCGACCTTGTTAAACATGCTCCCCAGGTTCCAAAAGGGTTACAAGGCAGCCCTGGTTGCAAGCAGTCTGGAAACGAGAAAACACTCCTCACCTGAATTGCATCGTTCTCTCCAGACACCAATGCCTCCTCAGCTCCACCGCCTGTGTTGCTGTCCACGCGCCCTGTCCCGCGCCCAGTTCTCCCACCGCTGCTGCATCCACGCCCTCGACCACCATGCATGCCAGCGGCGGTTCCGGATCGCCAAGGAGTCTCACCACCAGCAAGTGCTCACCAAGGAGTCTCACCACCACTTGCAGAGTTCGTGCCTACTCCTACGGATGAAACCCCCGATGCATGACATGTACCGGCACCTATTGGGATTGGTCTGTCCCATCCTGCCTGGGGCCGACATGGTGTGTGCACCCCCAAGCGCTCATCACTGCTGCCATGTTACTGCTCACTTCCACCACTGTCGCTGCTGCCACTGCCACTGCTGCTGCTGCTAGCTTCACTATATTGCCCGGGTCCTCCGAGCTGGACTCCTCCCCAGCGCCAGCGGCTAGGACCTCTTCCTCACCAGCATCCGACCCACCCTCCGAGCTACCCTCCTCTGTCTGCCCCCTCCACCCTCCCTTGCCTGCACCACCCTTCCCCGCACCTCTGGTGGTCCCCTTGCTTGCACCCCTGCCCCGGCCTGCACCCTTGTTCCCCTTCTGCCGTTTATTTCCAACCTTGCGCCCTGACCTCGCACCCAGGTCGTCGTCATCACCGCCACCCCGCCTGCGCTTGCCAGCTGCGCCCTTAGCCGCTCTTGGCACCTCGCCGACCCACTCCTTGAACGCATCGTAGTTGGTGGTATCTTCGTCCTGTGGTGGGGGGGGCAGCAACACCCAGTGCTGACGTTCAAGGTAAAATATCAGGGTAAGACCCAACAAGCTGCCCTGACATTGAAAGTTGACATAACCCATCAGCACCCCTCGACCTTGTTAAACATGCTCCCCAGGTTCCAAACTGCTAGGTTTTCTACCTGGGCAACGCCCGCCTCGCCCTGCCTGGGACCCGTGCCGGTGTCCCCCCCTGCGGTTGCTGCTGCTGCGACGCCTGCTGTGCAGCCGCCACCCGTGCCACCATCCACGGCATGTGTGCCCATGGCAGCAGCCTCTCCGCCACCCACCGCCTGTTCGTGGTCCCCAGCGGCTGCTCTCGCTGCTGCACCATCACTGTCGTTAGCCGCAGTATCCACTGCCTCAGCTCCCACTGCGGCTGCCACAGCACCGTGGTCTGCAGTGATAGTCGACAGTCGCAGGATCTTGTCCAAGACCTTCTTCTGAAACTGCGTCATGAAGTTGCTGGTGGCGGCCGCCTTGCCAGGCGCGGGCCCGCCGATGGCCAGGCCCTCCTGGCTGATCCCGAACAGCCTTTGAAGTAATACATTGCATTCTGCTCCTTGAACATGCTAGCTGATATCATGTTACCTCCCAGCTCAAAACTAAGCGGTATCATGTTTAGGCTCTGATGTTCATAGGAATCCCCTAAAGCACACCGGAGTTCAATTTTGAAAGTCTTGTTCCATTTTCCAGCTTATGGAACTATA